GAAACAATGAGGAAATCTGAATCATACCATAACAATACTAAATCCATGCATTCTCGTCCACAGTGAATATTCACATCTCCTTCCCGTGCACTCAAATGAACTCAAAACATATCGAATATAGCTCATATCGCCCTACTGAATTAAAGTAAAATTCATCTAGAGACTGATTCTCCCACTGATTTACATAGTTTACGATATTGTCGTCTTCATTTTGAATAAACTATGACACTAGAATGCAACAAAGCACATTGCATTCATCCGGAAAACACAACCAGGTCAAGACAATCAACTAAATGGCGGCACGCAAGTCAAGAAGAAATAAACTTCAGCAAGCCAAGAACAGCAAACGAATGAAAAAGTTAGAATAGTATCGAACGATGGTGCACTTACGATTGCTCGATGAACGATTTGTATGGGCCACTGAAGTGATCGATTTTGACCAGATCCTGCGCACGAAACAGTCGATGTGACGGCACTTTCAATCGGCTCCAACAAATCAGAAGTAATTGCGACGCCCAATCCTGAAATTTCACTTCATAAACTTCAAATATGCATATCAATTTCTCGGTTGGGAACACTCTTGCTTTCGACTGAGTTTTTCGAGAGTTCAATACTCTCGCTGAGAGGACAAAGCCAGTCACTGCGCTTTTTTATACATATAACTCTGTGAATTCAATTAAACACCTCAGATAGAGACATTCACACTCAAACCGAACATGAAAATGAAAGTCATACATTTTCATTCATTCAAACTGTTCTTTAATCCCATAGTCCACCAATCTTTCACTATCTCTCCATTTCGAAACGCTTGTTCTATGGAGAACATTTCCGTAATGTTCATAGATATAATGTCGGTTTGAACATTTCAATGCGCATTTCATTAAAAAATTCAATCACTTAAGTCATCGACCCTATAGTGTTTTCCGGTCCGCTTCGGATGAATCAAAACCAACAACATAACATGAACAAATTATGGAACATGTTCGCATTGCATTACTTATCTCGTTCTTCTGATTAAATCACGGCTTGTAAAGATATTCCGAAAAGAGCGAGTGCAAAACGGGTGAATGAAAAACCGAACCCCAAAACAGATATTAAGAGAGTAACTTAGCACTTGACAGCATATTCACGGAATTTTATTCGTTGCTGCTATTGAGTGTGTACGATTATGAAGCAATGATGCATGCTTGCATAGAAATTTGTTGAATGAATGAACAATTCGCATCAAATGAACAAAGTTTTCTCTTACGACGCTAACGTTAATATGATGAAGTTTCGATGAAAAATGGATTTCACTGAAAGAAAAAACTGTTTCTTAACCTCATCTTCAATGTATTTCTCCAGCTGTATCTGTTTAACACCGGCATTTCGAAGAATCTTCTGAGTTTTTCTTGGTGCTTTCATAAAGCGTTCCGTTGACACATCAAAACAATCCGGAAGAATTTTGTTGACAATCCTTAAATGTCGATAATCATTCAACGATCTTCTGATGATAAGGATTTTAGAAAATAGTGAAGTTATGGTTACATGGGTAAGTAGGAGTCTAGTGCTGTTTGAATGGGTTCACTATTTACTACGAATATTTACTCTGACACAACATTTTTCTACGAATATTTACTTAGGCATAACATTTTCATGAAGAACGAAAGGGATTAAGAAACAGATTGAAGCACATTCATCGACGTTTGAATTGATACAGAAATTCCAATACAGAGATAATATTAGGCGATAACATAACTCATCACAAATTCTACGATATATTCGAACATTTGGATAAGAAAAGATAGCTTATTTATACAATAATAATAAGAAACGAATGATCATCTTTATCTTTATCGTAAATCACTTGATCGCGAAACACGTGATTCGCGACAAGGATCAAACCAGAATGATCCTCACATGAAAATCAATTCAAAGGCACTTATAAAAATGAAAGGTTATCTGCCAAAACAAACTTCCTCAAGTGACAGCCGTGACACAACGAATATACAAAATCGTCCTTGTCGATGAAAAGTTCGCGACAAGTTGCCTACAAGAAGGATGAAAATTTAATTTCAACTGCAAGTCGTGATAAGGAAGCGCTCATCAGAAACAATCATCACTTTAATATTTGCTGTTAACTGATCGTTATTTCAGAGGAACAGTGCGGTTATGGTATCTTAGGTTCGTTAGAGAGCACTAACCTCAAGCCATCTCTGGCATTCATTTGCAGCCATATCCAAGAAGAAATCCACCTCGTTTTGCTCAAAGCAACGTTGCATATTGAACAATTGCTTAGCTGACGATTTATTGCGATGAAGCACGGAAATAAATATCCAATGAGCGATACTATTCAATTCTCTTTATTCGTACATGAAATCGGCAATTTCGCCCAATATCAATCAAATACCAAAAAGATAACTCCTTAAAGGACGGTCAATTCATAAGCAATTTAGACGAGCACTGTTTCGATGTGAGCATACGTTTCGAGCAATAATTCCTCATTCGTTAGGATACATTCACATAGCCAACAGCAAATGGTAATCACGATGATCGCAGAATATGTAGCATCAAGTCGCTGCTCAATCAAACAGAACAGTTTTGCG